AGCTGTGTTGTTTACATAGCCCAACAAGTATATATATATATATATATATATACCTTCTCTCGTGTTTTTTGTCCCTTTCCTTGTTTTTTGTCCCTTTCCTTATCTAAACGATAAGGGCAGTGCTTCACAGCGAAGCTGCAGTCTCTGCTCCGTCTACCCTTGTTTTCTTTGGACGACCGCACTGAAATGTATTTCGTTGTACTTAATGACAATATTATTATTAATGACAATAAAGTTGATTCTGATTCTAATTGCTGGAACTCCTGATAAAATAAAGACAAATTTAACCTTGTCCAATATGACATGCACAGCTGTGTTGTTTACTTCCTGTCTCACCTCTTCTTCCTGTCCAGAGACCGCTGTGTGGCAGCAGAGAGAGAAGCTCTCTCTTTGGCAGATTTGGCTTTCTCCTGCAGGGGAGGAAAATGTTAAAACGCAAACGCTAATCTTGGTTTTTACAAAAAATTCATCTTACAACAAGAAGAAAAATGTTTCAGGTTACCAGGTCTCGAAGCTTCCTCTCAGCACGTAGCTCCCGGTCCTGCTGCAGAACTGCTAATCGATCTCTCAAAGACATTTCAAAGAAGATGTCGTGGACATCATACAAGGCTGCACGCAACTGTGGGGCATCAGGTGCACACATAAACACAAAGAAAAGAGGCTGTCTGCTGTGCACAGAGATAATTCACAGATTATTACCTGGGCTCGCACTCTCTCCTGCAGGGAGAGGTCTTGTGCTGAGTAGGCCCCTCTCTTCTGTGCAGCTTCAGTCTCAAATGAACGGATGAATTCCTGCGTATCCTGAACACAACACCAATATGTAAGGGTTTTTCCTCAGGCACAAACACCATCAAAAATAATTCACTAACAACAGTGTTCTTATTTAACTGTGCCCTCTTTTGTGTGATCGCACCAGGACGGTTTGGCGCAGTTGTTTGATCTTCTCTGTTTTGAGCAGTCGCCGAATGAGGAATCCACGAATGATGGCGCCAATCTGACAAAACGCTCCCTGAAGCTTCGTGGTCAAAACCTGCAGTTCACAGCAAAGAAAACATGACTGTAAAAACAAAGATGGTGAAAGCTGAACAGTTCAGTATTGTGTAGAAAAGGAGCATCCACTAAAGCTTTAGGATTTCCATAAAGATGCGCTAAGATTCTTCATTTTGTGTCAAACCCCAAGTTAAAAAAAATCTAAATAACATAGTGGCTAGGAGCCATGTACTTGTGTTTGAAAAGATTTGTTTAATTTTGCATTTGGAGATAGACATTAGTTTTACATTTCAAAAGTGAGTCAAACCACTGGGCTGTTTTAAGCAAAAGATCAGCATCTATAATGGTACATCTGTATCCATAACATTGTCTTATTGACCAAAAAAAATGTACCATTGATGCAAATATTCATTTTTCAATCTAATCAATATTCACAGTTCTTTCAACAAGACAACCAGGTTTATCATAGTTTAGTCTGCAACTTGACAGATATTTTAGGTTCAGGTACAAACATTTACTCTCGGTTAAAAGTAAACCTACCAAACTTAGCCTTGCCCGCGGTTTGTTAGCTGTCCAAGAAGAGCCCCACAGACAAACAGCAGGCTGGATAGAGGGAGATATAATACTGGATGGACTTGAACTGGGAAAACCTGTGAAAAGAAACATCAAATACTTTCAACATAGTCAGTTAATGCGCAACAAATATTATATTTAACAAAACTTCTTAATTTTTGTAACTTTACTAAGAGACTTCAGGAAACAAGACACTCTTATTTTCAGTAAATTATGAAAATATGTTGTCATTTTGTTGAAATATACAGAATATATTTGTCTAGTTATCTTGAACGTAGCGTACAGTAAATATTAGGAATTTTAAAAAAGACCAAAAAATAAAACACAGGAGTGGGTGAACTAGTACCTAATGTGTGTCCAGCCGACTGTTCAGACGGGGTGTGGATGGGACTCAGTCTTGGGCAGGAGGGGCTCATAACAGGGCAGCTGCCACTCACAGACCTGTAGGTCCAAACACAGGAGTCCCCACTTACAGGCCGCACACTCTCCTGCTCTTTCAGTTCTCTCTCTCTCTCCTCAAGTTCCTAAACACAAGCATATCAAACAGAAAGATTGCTTTTCAAATTAAATATCTAACATACATATATCATATAGCATATACCATTACTTTCAAATGTGATGTAAACAATTTCCATTTTGCATTAAAAAACATGTTTTTGTTGTTTTATTAACTGAGGAAAAAAGTGAAAAACAAATTAACATGTATAGTTTTACTATCCACTTGGAGGTAAAATAGCCAATGTGTGATTCTTTATGCTGACCAGACGGAGGCGCTGTTGCTCCTTCTCGTGCTCAGCAAGGAGCAGAGACATTTGCATGGTATGTTCCTCTTCTAGACGCCTTTGTATGTCCTCCAGAGCCTGAGTTCGCCACTGGGCCTCCTCCACGCCTGTAGAAAAATATAAACAGGCACAATCATGTTTGTTTTTCCATTTCAAAAGCTGAGATATAAGGAAATGGAGAAAAATTGTAGTAAAAAAAACACAATTTCAGCTAAAAAGTAAAATAAAAAGATTATGCACAGATGATTTAAGACTCACCTGTCTTGCTGGATTGTGCTTCAGCTGTTTTTCTCAGAACAGTTGGAGTTTTCCTGCCATTGTTTGACCCATGAGATTCATCAGGAGTCATCAAGGATCTCAGAAGAGTTGGTGATGGATTTTCAACCTTGTATGACTGGTTTAAAGGAGTTGCAGGGGTGTGCCTATTTGGACCCAGCCACATAACACCTGCCATGAAGCGAGGGACCCTTTCCTGGCTGCGGTCCACAGGCTCGGCTTCAGACTGGTATGTATTCAGCTGGCTGTCCAACGTGTGGCAGCGCCGGCGAAATCCCACAGTCTGGTGATCATGGTGTATCATGCAGCTGGGTACAGAGGCACTAACAGGGCCTCCATTCTCCTGCACTGGACTGGCAATGCAGTGACTAGATCGCTGGTTTCCAGACCTGGAAGCATTGTCCCTCTTCTCAAAACTCCACAGACCGGTTGACATTGAACTCGACTCCTCCCAATCTGCCATGCTAGCACCTTCTCCTGGCTTCCCCGGGCTTTGAGGGACAAGGTCTGCTGGTCCAATGGGAAATGTCATGTGGATGTTTCCTGTAGAAACCGGCCGTTGTTTGCGTCTACAAGGACGAGGACTAACGCAGGACTCTGGACTTGGAAGACGAGCATATCGTTCTTGTTTACTAGATGCGAGTGCGACAGATTTGTGCGGATTGGGGTCATAAAAAGACTGGTGCTGGATTGGAGGTGGGCCAACTGGGCTATGGTGCAGACTGAATCCAAACTCAACTCCTGTGTCCCTCATAGGGCTACAGCTCAGCTGCTCTTTGACAGAAGCAGCCTCAGATGGGGGAGTCTGGCTGACTGAGAGGGCAACTTTCGATCCCTGCTGACTCTGCTTCTGCTTCACAAACTCTCTTGATCTTTTAAGAAGGCTGTCCAAGCTAATGTCTTCATCGTCCTCCTCTTCATCCTCATCCTCCTCACTCCTCTGTTGCTTCTGTATCTTTACATCTACTTTGCAACCATTGAAGATGGGAATCTCAAGGGGTGGCGTGACGGGCTGCTCAACTACTGCCTTTGGTCTAGATCCGGGATCTTTGGTAATTCCAGGCGAGTCATTAACCAGAGTATAACCAATGACTGTCGCAGATTTAGAAACTGGCAACTTCACTTCACTTGATGCTTCATATGCCTGTGAGAAATAAGAACAAATAATGAGCCTGTCATACAGAGTGACTAATTTATGTAAAAATCCTTGAAATTATTTGTCCCAGTCCATTTAGATTAAACCTGTCTAGATTTTGTCACATCTTCATTCGTATTCAGTGGGAGAAAAAGGTCCATCCATCTATTATCTTTACCCGCTTCTTCCTTTTCGGGTCATGGGGGCCACTGGTGCCCATTTCCAGCAGTCACTGTGCATGAGACGGGGTACACCCTGGACAGGTTGTAACTGGTAAGTCCATCAGTGGGACACATAGAGACAAACGAGACAAACAACCACCAGGGGCAATTTAGAGTTACCAATCAGCCTGACATACATGTTTTTGGTCTGTGGGAGGAAACCGGATTACCCCGAGAAAACCCATACATGCACAGAGAAAACACAAACTCCACCCAGAAATCCACCCCCCATCCCCCTGGACGGGATTCGATCCTGCGACCTTCTCGCTGAGAGGCAGCAGCTCTACCAACTACGCCGCCCGTAAAAAATATCACAATACAAAGTCCTACAGACCTACTTTCATTTAAAGATGGTCAATTAACAGAGAAAATTTGGAAAAGAAAAATATTGATTAAAATAAATATTTAACAAAACGTGACAAATCAGGTAAGAAAAAACCCGTAAATATCAACCCCGTGGTCAAAGAGTGACACTTTGTATTCAACTCTGCAGATGTCACAGAGACTGGGACAAAGACTAACTTACATTTTGTGCTACACCTTGGTACTTAGCTTGATCCCTAAGTGAGGCATAAATATGAAAATATTTCATTACAGGAAAAACAGAAAACTGGTTATATTTTTTCAATTAATGAAGCACTATCGACACTGATTTTCATTAGCATTAGTATGAGAGATTGCTACATATTTATAATGCTCACAACATATTACATACATGATAGACCTGACTTCAGTGTTTTAGTTTCTTATTTCCACTGGAACACTCCACAGGCCTGTGTCCAGAACCCTACTCTGTGCCACTGACCTGATCCGACAGGTTCTGCAGCTTGTCTCTCTGCTTGTTCTGTCTGTCCAGATCCAGCAGGATTGCCCTTCGTCTGTAGCGACACATCTCACTGCGCTGCTCTGCACTCAGCTGAAAAACATAAATGCATATAGTTAGGGATTTTTAGAACGTTTTTATGACATTGTTCCTATCAGAAGAAAAGAAAAAGCTTGGTATTGATTTTGTAGCATCCACATGTCAGCAGAGGAGATCCTGACACCGGCTTCTCCATCGTGAGAGTATTTCAAAGAATCTATTTTGTCAGCAGTCAGGAACAAATACGTTTTCCAGGCATTCCTGACTTGGCCTGTCTTTACTGTGCCAACTGCTGATTTAATTAGACTCTTCTCGCAGGAGACCTTTTGACTTGTGTTAGCAAGAAAATCACAGGTAGAGCCAACTCCTTTCAATGGGATGTTATTTTTATTGTTACACATTGTTCATGTGCATTTCCTATAAGAACAAGCTATCAGCTGTTGGAGGTACAGTATATGTTAGGTTATGAGCGCTGATGTTTTACGAAGGTGTCAGGCACTATAGTTCTTACAGAGAATTTTTCAGAACGTTTCTCATAGGTTTTTTTTTTTTTTTTTTGGGTCATTGTAACTGAGAAGTGGAAGATGCGTAAAAAAGGAATGCAAAATTGCAACTTCAGCAGAAAGCGAGAGAGGAAACTAAATGAGCATTTCATCAAGCAAAAATAGAAATATTGATGTTGTTTTTTGATTATTTTATTTGGTTTTCTCTTGTTTTAAAATGTACATAAGCATTTTTCAGTTACTCAGTCTTGAGTTGTACATTTAGCTACCACTTGTATTACGTGAGTAATCAGCACATCTGTATCTCCTTAACGCCTCGCACAACTCCTTGTTTCCACACTTCTTTATGAAGTCCTCTTGCTTTATGAAGTTTTGTTCTTACCTTATATTCTGGATAATTTTGTTAATAAATTTTAAGATTTTAGCCTCATCCACCTGTCTCCTGCCTGCGTTTGGTTCCATTCTAGCACCGTATCATGACATGATCTTAGCAACTTCCTTACCAGAGGTGAAAGAATGGCTTTTCCATGAAAGTAGATGACAGAGTGAGCTGCTTGCAGTGAACACAATGGCTCGCATGTCTTCCTCTTGAGTTTTCCCTCCTCCTGCAGTGAGGCCAAACTCTGTAGACAAAACTCCTCGTAGCTCTCCATCCCCGAACACCCACACATCCGCTCTCTGGACAGGAAACACACACCATGTAGCCTCGTCGCCAAACTGTTCAGATCCAACAGGGAAGATGAAAGAGGACTAGATTACAACTCTGTGAGAATGTGACTACAGCACGAAACTGTAATGGGAAAAACAGAATGAATCATCTGCACCAGGGGTGTCAAACTCAAGTTAGACAAGCAGGCCAAAATTTAAAAAATAGTTTTAGCCAGGTGCTAATAGAGGTCAATATTTATATTTTTAAAAATATATCAAAAATCTTGTTCTTTAACTGTTATTTATTATGTCAAGTTATTTCTATGGAACTATAAATTACCTTTGCTCAATTACATTTATGTTGAATTTAGATATGCATGACCTAAAGGACAAGAAAAAATATAAACATTTAAAAGACAAAAATACACATTTGCATTAATACCTTAATTTCCATCAGCAACATTTTAATTTTATTTTTCTTAGTAATACATTTGATCAAAATCCATTAAATCAGTAAAAAAAAAAAAAGTCTGAACAAGAATTGACTTTGAAATAAGAAAATACAGAAAAGTTTATAAAGCAGACTGTTGCTCAAACACACATTAAGTCGTCAGAATATCTTTTGCCTGACCTCAACAAGAGTTTCAGCGGTTTTATTACGCATTCTCTGTTGCTTTTCCCGTCTCAAAATCAAAGATTACAGAAAAGAATACAGAAAAAAATACTCCTTTTTTATTCTTGGCTTCAAACGTTAGTTAACTGTCATGAGAAATCTATAAATATGCTCAGTTTTTAAAGAAAAGGTGAGAAGCAGCAGAGATTTACAGATGGGAGGGCCAGAGCCAACACATTTAAAATATCAGGAGACCAGATGAAATGTTAAAAAGGACCAGAATTGGCCCGCGGGCCTTCAATTTGACCCATGACCTTAAACAAAAGAGGATCTATGCTCTCTTTATGTTTGATCACACATCACATTCCTTCCTGGTGGCTCATTTGATTTTCCCATGCCTCATGCAGAGGCAGATTGTGTGTCCAATCAATAGTTTCTATTTTCTGACATGTCTGCCAGCAGTTAATCCCCAAGGCAAGCTGGACTCTGGGTGCAATGGTGTGCTGTGGATGGAATTTAACAATGAAATGCTTGTTTGTTTGTTTGTTTTAGATTATGATAATGGGTTAGATTTGAAATGAGCTACATGATGCCGCTGTAGTCTAACATCCAGCTGCCCGGTTTGCTCAGGGACGGCACGGCACGGGTGGGAATGGGTTTAATTCAGTCAACAAAGAGATTTTAAGGTGTGCGAGGTATTTTTAGGAAGCGAGCTGGAGCTTTCAGTCCAAATACACCGTGAAGCATGACAGCGGATAATCGCGTGCGTGTTCATACCTGCAGTTTTAATGAAAAGGACAAATAATAATAATAATCTTCTCCCTGGTTTCCTTTCTCCCAACGACGTGACGTCACCGAGAAGCTCAAAGCGGCGGCTTGGTCGGCGAGCCTCCCGGTCTCCCCGCTCCAAATCTCGGTTTGACCATCATGATGACCCCCCCCCTCATCAGTTTCCAGCTCTTCCGGGCTCCAACAGCGCCTCCTAGCAACGCGCGCACGCGGGAGGGTCACGTTCCGTTACGGCGCACGCGACCTGTTTCACTAACCGACAGAACACCGGCTTTTATACATGCGCTTATTCTGCGCTTTCTACACCTAATTTGCATGAACTGTAGACATTATTTTAAAATGTATCTAAGAATACTCCCTATAGCTCACTCTTAAGTCAGTTCCTGGAGAGAAACAACTTCCTTTCAAGCAGGAAATATCTGGCTAGATAATATTCAGTCCCAGAATATTACAGGAGAATTGAAGGCTTGAGGTGTCTGGGAATGTCATTTACTTTGAGCAAAATGAACTAATTAAACAGAATGTCATTATTTTTGTTTTACAGCAGGCATCAAATCTTAATTACATCTGTAATGTCCACTTTCAGATTCAGAATAAACAAGTCTGAGGTCTGACCCTCAAACTAAAGTGTTAAGATGTGGCTCCTGCAATGCAACAAATGAGGCTGCCATCCAAAAGTGTGTCAATAGGTTTCCATCACTTTTTTATTTTTTATTTTGAAGCTGCTACGGACTGATGGTTTGTTTTAAAATGGGTTTTCTGACCCGTTATTTAATTAATTTCAATTTGGTTTATTTTTATAACACCAAGTCACGGCAGAAGTCTTCTCAGGCACTGAACAGAAACATTCACATACCCCAGTATAAGCCGGTACCAGTTTACAATAATAGGCTCCACTTATCAGAGTCAGAGAGATTTATTTGTCATTCGCATCTCATGTGGTACATGTGGTGGAAATTATGTACAGTGTCCCAGTTACATGCAACAATAAAATGTATATAAAAAAAAAACAGTAATAAGATCTAAGATATGAACTAAGAAAAACCTCAGCTAAATAATACATTCAGCAGTAATAGCACAAAAACATTACGTCGAACAGCAGCATGAACATGAGTCTGTGTGAACAGATGAGCACGCATGAACACAACAACACGAAACAGATCAGCAGCAACATGATGTGATTTTTCAGTGATTATTCTGGTTAGAGATTCATGAGTCTAACAGCCTCAGGGTAGAAGCTGTTCCTCAGTCTAGTGGTTCTACAATTAATGCTCCTTAACCTCCTTCCTGAGGGAAGCGGGGCAAAAAGTGTGTGTGTGCTGGGTGAGTAGGGTCCTTCATGATGCAGGTGGCCCTCTTCCTGCATCTCGAGGTGTAAATGTCTGTGATGGTGGGGAGACTGACTCCAACAGTCTTCTGTGCAGCCTTCACCACTCTCTGCAGAGCTTTTCTTTCTGCAGCTGTTCAGCCTCCATGCCACACGTTGATGCTGGAGCACAGGATGCTCTCCACTGCACACCTGTAGAAGGAGGTGAGGACTGAGCTTCCCAGACCACCTCGCCTCAGCCGCCTGAAGAAGTAGAGTCTCTGATGAGCGTTTTTGATCAGGCTGGTGGTGTTGCCCCAGGTGAGGTTGTCATTCAGGTGCACCCCCAAGTACTTGTAGCTGGAGACCACTTCCACCACAGATCCTCTTATGTTCAGGGGGGTGTAGGTGAGGTTGTTCCTTGTGAAGTCCACGATCATCTCCTTTTGTCTTCTTCACATTGATGTGAAAGTTATTCTCTTTGCACCAGCTCTTCAGGTGTTCCACCTCCTGCCTGTAACTGGACTCATCGTTGTTTGTAATGCATCCCACCACCGCTGTATCATCTGCAAACTTTACAATGTGACAGCCTGGATGGGTAGCTGCACAATCATACGTGAGCAGAGAGAACAGGAGAGGGCTCAGCACACATCCCTGAGGGGAACCAGTGCTGAGGGGTTATGGTGGAGGAGGAGAAGTTGTGGATCCTCACTGACTGAGGTCTGTTTGTTAAGAAGTCTAGTACCCAGTTGCAAATGGAGGGGCTTACTCCTAGTGTGAGTAGTATGTCTATCAGGGTTTGGGGGATCATGGTGTTGAAGGCAGACGTGAAGTCCACAAAGAGCATACGGATGTAAGAGTCCTTCTGCTCCAGGCGGTGAGAGCAATGTGGACCACAGAGGAGATGGCATCCTGTGTTGATTGGTTCTTGCGGTATGCATACTGATGAGGGTCCTCGTTGATGTTGATGATTGTTTTGATGTGGGTCATGACCAGTTTTTCGAAGCATTTAACGGCTATCAGGGTGAGGGCTACTGGCCGATAGTCATTCAGACCAGTCACATAGAGCTTTTTGTCAATGTCACTGTCAGTGTCAGTTTATTTATATAGCACATAAAAACAACAAAAGCTGACCAAAGTGCTTTACAGTTAAGACAGATAAAAATAGTAAAAATAATGCATCTAGTGCCACTCAAAAATGTAAGAAAGACTCTGCATGGATCAAATGCCAAGGAATACAGATGAGTCTTCAGCAAAGATTTAAAATTCTCAACAGTCTGAGCGGTCTTTAAATTCTTGGGTAAACTGTTCCACAATTTCGGAGCAGCAACCGCAAAAGCGCGATCAACTCTGGATTTCAGTTTGGATCTGGGGACATCTAAGAGGAACTGGTTGGTAGACCAGAGTGCTCTTACTGGAGTGTAGATGTTAATAAGATCACATAAATAAGACGGGGCCAGACCTTTTAAGACTTTAAAAACAAGCAATAAAATCTTAAAATCAATTCGGAAGTGGACAGGAAGCCAGTGGAGAGAAGCCAGGACAGGGGTTATGTGTTCATGTTTTTTAGTTGCTGTTAAAAAACAAGCTGCTGCGTTCTGGACAGATTGTAAATGATGCAAAGATGATTTGTATAAACCAACATACATTGAATTGCAGTAGTCCAAACGAGAGGTAATAAAAGCGTGAATCACCTTTTCAAGGTCTCTGAAAGGGAGACAAGACTTCACCTTGGCAATGAGTCTTAGCTGGAAGAAACTGTATTTCACAACTGCATTTATCTGTTTGTGTAATTTAAAAGCACTATCAAAAATAACTCCCAGATTCCTGACAGTGGAGTGGCTGTATGAAGCCAAGGGGCCAAGAACATTAACAGTATTACAATTACCAAAGCTGATGACTTCTGTTTTATTTTCATTTAAATTCCAAAAATGTAGTTTTAACCATACTTTAATGTCATTTAGACAATTCAAGAGTGGATCCAATGGAGTGACCCTGTCTGACTCAATCGGAAGATATAACTGAGTATCATCAGCAAAGCAATGAAAAGGGATGTTGTGTTTTCTAAAAATGGACCCCAAAGGCAACATGAAGAGATTAAAAAGCAGTGGATCTAAAATAGACCGTTGAGGTACCCCACAGAACAGAGGAGCTGGAGATGAAGAACATGCCCCTAGATGAACAGAAATACTCCTGTCATTCAGGTAGGATCTAAACCAGGATAAAACTGTGCCCTTGATACTGACCACCTGCTCAAGTCGTGACAACAAGATGTTGTAGTCCACAGTATCAAAGGCAGCAGAAAGGTCTAAAAGCAATAAAACAGCAGAGCTTCCTGCAACAACGGTTAAAAGAAGGTCATTAAAAACTCTTAAAAGAGCTGTCT